ATCTTTGGTGCAATTTAAATTATTACACAAATGTTAAAACTTATTTTTAATTATTTTACGAGGGCTGCACTAAAAGTATCAGGAATGGAATATTTCCACTGTTCCTGTCATATTAAAATCTTTTTAATTGAAAACTCCTCGGTTTTAAAAATTAATACCACATATTTATTTAAAAAAAGATTCTCGGTCTTGTTACAAGGTTATGTCTCTAGTACATAGTCAGTAATCTATGGTCAAACTTGTTTAGTCGTTGAGAAAATGGGATTGACTCGAGAAAATTCAAGAGCGATGATTTATTACGACTCGAAGTGGTTTAACACAAAAACAGTGTGTTGACTGGATGATTTCTGCATTTGGTGATGAAGCCCCATCCAAAACCACAATTTATCGCTGGTTTGGTGAATTTCAACGTGGACGTGTCAAGTTTAGTGATGATTCCCGTCAAGGTCGTCCAAAAACTGCAGTCACCCAAGAAAACGTTGATGCTGTGCGTAAGCTGATTGAGGAAGATCGACATGTGACATACCGCGAAATTCAGGCAACTTTAGACATTGGCATGAGTCAAATACAAATAAATAATCTTGCATGAACAATTAGGTGTAAAAAAGTTGTTTTCCCGATGGATACCGCATTCGCTCTGTGAAGAGCAAAAAGCGGCTCGCGTTACTTGGTGCGTCAGAACTCTCGAAAGATTCCACGCAGGATCCTCAAATGCTGTATACAACATCGTGTCAGGTGACGAATCCTGGATATACGCGTACGAACCCGAAACAAAAAACGTCACGAGTTTGGGTGTTCGAAAATGCGTTAAAGCCAACAAAAATTGTTCGTTCACGGAGTGTTGCAAAAAAAAATGGTGGCCACGTTTGTCTACAAAAACGGCCGTGTTACGACTATTCCTCTTGAGGACAAAGAACGGTTAATGAAGAATGGTATGCTAGCATTTGTTTGCCACAGGTCGTTTCTGAACTCCCGTAAAGAGAACTGCAACCGCCGCATCATCCTCCATCACGAAAATTCTGAAGAAGCTGTGGACGTCTACAAAACGGCCATTTTGGAGACCCCAACTTCCGAATGAAATGGTTGCTTCAATGAATAGTTCCATCGTATGGAAAAATGTGTAAAATTTCGCGGAGAATACTTCGAAAAGCAATAAATACATTTTTAAATAGTAATGTTGTGTCACTTCCTTGATTCCCGAAATTTTAAGTGCCGCCCTCGTATGCATTTAAAAGAACACTACGTTAACCCTTTTATAACTATTAACAATTCTAGTTAATCTCCGGAAGAATTCCGGAAGAATGTTGTGGTCACAGTACAAATCCACGAACGCAAAGACTTTAACGTGCTTGAAATAAAGTTCATTTTTCTTTATTTTTATTAATGATAGAATTAGTAATAATTCAAATAAAACTGCACTCTTAAAAATCTTATTGCCTTAAGTTACGGCCTATTTCAGTTTGTTTTGACTGTACAGATTTAGTGTGACTGTAATTTACATATTATTTCTTTTATATTATTTCTTCATTACATTGCCTATTAGAATATGTATAGAGAAAATATATATATATAAATTGTCTTTATTTCAGGCACATATCACCCACCTAAATTACCAACAAAAAAAAAAGACAATGCAATACAGAATTACTAAAAATTAAAAATAATTGTATTGTAAGTCTAAATGGAGGGAACCATCACGTCAAGCAGCTATCTTAAGCCATTTTTGATAAAAGGCTGTGGCCGGCAGTCGTTCCGCAAACTCACTAATTATCCTGTTTCTACACTCACCAACCCTGGACATGAATGATGCGATTCTGAATCTTTGAATGGCATTAAACGTATTAATTCGTGCTTCGGAAAACATGCCTGAAGCACTGCAATAGCGTTTGAGACCCATAAGCATTCTAAAGATGTTATTATATTGCACACGAATACCATTCAAAGATCGCCCCGTATATTCAGTCCAGAGCTGGCAGATGTAGAAAGACTGACAGTACGTTTGGAAGAGCATAATCTTAACCTCCTTGGTGGCTTTAACAAACCTCCTGGCAATCATATTGCCACAGACAGACAAAGCTCTTCTCTGTCGTTCTATATCGCATTCATCTTTTCTGTTCGTTGTCACTATGAGTGACCGAGGTATTTGAACGTTTGAACTATTTTAACCGGTTGACCCGCCACGTGCACCTCAGGTACATTAGTTGAGCCCTTGCCCGCCTTAAAAATCACCATCTCCGTCTTTTTTTGCGTTATAAATTAAACTATGATCTTTAGCAAATTTTTCGCATATGGATATTAATTTCCGCATACCTTTGATTGTAGGGCTGAGCAGAACCATATCGTCAGAATAACTTAGGTTGTTAACATAACGGTTGCCAAGCCTAAGACCGACTGGGGTTCTGCTCAGCTCCACGATCAAGTCATTCACATAGATGTTAAAGAAGTCGGATGAGGTAAGCCCCCCTGCCTTGCTACACAAGTCAGCGAGTATTCATCGGACAGAAAGTCACACCATTTTACATTGTTGACCTGTCTCTTACACCAATAAGTGAGCAGGTCAACAATACCAGCAGGAACGTTATTAGATACTAGCTTCTTCCATAGCACATCATGATTCAAGGTGTCGAAAGCGCGACTCAAATCAAGAAAGCAGGCATATACATTAGTATCTCGATGAACATAGTAATTTATTACTTGTTTTAAGGCAAAAATAGCCATATCAGTAGATAGCTCTGGTCGAAAACCAAACTGACCATCGTCAATGCACATGTAGAGTGTAATTTTGGCTTGAATCAAACGCTCAAATACCTCGGCCACAACAGTGGCGAGAGATATAGGTCGGTAATTAGCCATGCTTGCGAGATCTCCAGTCTTACACTTCGGAAGCGGCACCACAATGGTATGTAATAGATTATTTGGCAGGTATGAGTGGCGCATGCATAAGTTAAATAATGCAGAGAGGACTACACAAATATACTGACCGGCATGCAACAGATGCTCTATACTACAGGTAGTCACATCCCGGAGACTTACCCCTTTTCATGCTACGTAAGACGGGTACCACATCCTCCTCCGTAACTAGGCAGTTCTCGTTAAGATGTTTCTGTACTCAACAAGGTATGATTCTGAGTAGTTAATTGGGGTGTATCTTGCTCATTTTTCACGTCAACATTAAAATTATTTTTAAAAAGGTTGGCTATCTTTGTGTGATTCACCTCACCCTGGATACTAATAGGACGACCCGCTTTAGGATTTAATTTCTTCACCTCCTTCCAAAATTATCCAAATTTTTTCGATTTATTATTTCGGGTCAATTTATAATATTTTTTTTAACTTTATCTTTTCTTGATGATTTTGAATGAATTTAAGTGCGGATTTAAATTCCTTACGAGCAGAAGACATTTCATTATAATAATAACCAGAAGATGGTTTGCCAACAGCAACCCAGACACTAAACTTTAATCTAGCCTTAACATGTAGACGCCTCACGTGATAGTTCCAACCAGTCACAAATGGCTTTTTATCTTTTATTTGCCTATAACTATTCTCTGCACTAGTCTGCAATATCTTAATAAAGTTATTATAAAATTCATTTATTGAAGTACAATGGTCACTATTCTTACAAACTATATCACAGTTACATATAAATTTATTATTAAAAAAAATTAATTTGTCTTAAAGAGATTATTTAGATTCAAATCGCATAAGGTACTATATTTCCGAATTTCCGAGTCTCTATTGCCCCATACTATCTTTGGCTTGTTACTAGTTAAATTAGTCACTTCTATAGGTATAATTGTACTAATAGTCCACTGAACAATGGAAAGTGATCCGACGAGTGGACGTCATATAATACACACACACTACTCACTGCGCTAGCGGCGGCCGTAGTCACGATGCAGTGGTCGAGCCATCGACACTCCGATAGGAGTAATAGTGTTCTGTGCATCGACATGTCCCGTGCGCATCGCTTACATATGTGCGGGTGTCTGATTCCTTATCTAGAACATCGATGTCAACACAACTTAATGACTGCTCATGACAGTAATTTAATAGTTCGTTTGCGAAAAGTGAATCCGGGTAGGCGTTGAAGTCACCTAGAACAAAACTGATTCTATATCCGCACTTTCTATCACTGCACTAATATTTCCTAAACAGGTTGTAAACTCCGCTAGGTTGTCGTCACTGTTCGTAGGCATATAAACACTTAGAACGAGCACATGTATATTTCCTTGGCTTAGCTTCACAGCACACATCCTGTTAGTATAGCAAGGTATGACCTCCGCACTCGGAAATATTCGCTTATTCCATAGAAGTGCTACACCACCATAGGGTCTTCCGCGGATTAGTCCTTCAGACGTGTCGATGGCCGATACTCCACAGGATTCAAATTCTGAGTCTATAGTATTAAGAAAACCTAGATCGTGTGGGAACAACCAAGTTTCCTGGAGCGCCAGCAAGCGGTATTTTTTACACAACTCTCTTATTTGAACAAGAGATCTTTTAACTGATTTACAGTTGAAGGAAATAAATGATATATCGGACTTATCCATATTGTTTATTAGTAATTTTGTTCTCATTCCTCAGTTCTCTTTGTACAGGGCGATACCCACGCTCTCTAAACTTTCTAAAAATAATTCACGCGGGCCAAAATTGATCCCCCTGATCATTCAAAAAGAGATCAGCCTTTTGAAGCGGTACTGTAAAGCATAACTATTTACGTACTATAATTTTAGTAACTACCGTTTCCAGTTGAGTCTTGTACTTAATAAAGCCAGCAATGTCATTCGCCGTACTATCTCTGTGTACTCGTGATATATGTAGGGATAAGGTTCTTTCTGCTGCTTTGAAATTAAATTCGCATATTGAATGCGCTTTTCCTTTTCTATTCTCTAATCTCTTTTGACGTTTACTCGTCACTGTAGTCCAGTTCCCCTCTTTTATCGGTTTTAATGACAGAACGTGCGAATTGTTTACATTATCATTGTGTTCAGAAACGGTTAGTCAGAACCGTCCGCAACTTTAGCATAACTCGGCTGACTGGACAATTGTTTAGAATCTGTACCGCTGGACTGTAGGACTGATTTATTGTTCGCTGCGCCTTGCAACGTCGTAGGTGAGCATGATGCCCTCGCTGTGGGCTCTGGTGGAAGGGGAGCGGCCGCTGTGGACGCGTGCGAGCTTATCTTGGCTAACAGCGATTTCTGTGCACTTTTATTCTTAACTACCCGCCTTCCGGGAATCTTGTCCTCACAAGATATAGGAGACGAATATGTATCACAGGTTGCAGGGTTAACCCCAATTCTTTTTTCTTGCAGCTCCTTCAATGCAAGCTTAACGTCAGCTAGATCTTTTTTGAGTGATTCCAGAGAGGAACTGTAGGGATTGGAGCTTGTGCGTAAACAGCGATTCTTTTTAATAACGCCATATCCTTAAGGAACGTTGTCACATCGATGCTATCAAAATTAACTGGCGGTAACTTGATTAAAACTAGTTTTACGGATTTTATCGCGTTTATTTTTGCTTTTAATTACTTTTATTTTTAATTCCCGACGTTTCGGGCGCTTTCCAGCACCCATGGTCACGGGGGACTGAGATGACTGACGTCCCGATGTCATTGTTAAACCCGGAGTACCTTCAGCTTTTTTAATTATTGTTTATGGTCCGATCTATGCAAAATGAACTGACTATGTCTTGAGGTCTTGCAGTGGTATGCTTGGGTTTAGTTTTAATTTTATTGATTATAGGATCCCAAGCAGGTGGTAGTACCCAGCCTCCTTCTCTATTGAAATTAGGATGTTTTTTAATTTCAATAGCCTCACGTATCATCCTTGGTAGGAATCGGTGTTCTTTCGCGAGGATTTGTGGTCTATGAAATCTGATGTAATGGTTGGGGCCGTCCAGGATATGATCACAAAATGCAGACTTCCCGGAACGTTGATGCTTCACATCAGCTATATGTTCTTTTACGCGGGTTCTAATTGATCTTTTTGTTTGTCCTATATAAGAGAGACCACATTCACAATCAAGCTTGTACACACCTGCATCTTGTAGAGGAATATGACACTTGACGGATGGTAGGAACTGACTAATCTTCTTCGGCGGCTTGTAGAATGTTCTAATAGAAGCTCGATTCAAGATATAGCCAATCTTGTCTGTGACACCTCTGACATATGGTAGTACAGCAGGCACACGCTCGACTGTGGCCGGCTTCACTCGGTCACTGTGACGTAGGCGCGGGACCCGAAGCTTGTTGTCATGCAGAACTTGCTTGACGTGCTGAAGCTCGGTGGCCAGGTGTTTGCTGTCACAGATCCCTCGTGCTCTCTGTAACAAAGATTTGCCCACGGTAGCTAACTGTGAAGGATGGTGGTGAGATTCACCGTTTAAATATCGGTTTGTATGGGTCTTTTTCCTATACACAGTGTGACCAATGGTGTTATTAGGATTTCGGATGACTAACACATCTAGGAAAGGTAAGGAATTATTTGCCTCTAACTCCATAGTAAATTGAATTTTAGAGTTTATCGAATTAAGACGTTCTAAAAATGCAGTTACTTTGTCTGATGGTAAAATTGTGAAAGTATCGTCTACGTACCGCTTGTAGATCCTTGGTGTAACAGGTGCAGTAAGGAGGGCTTTCTCCTCAAAGTCTTCCATGAATATATCGGCGACAATGGGAGATACAGGTGAGCCCATCGCCACACCATCTACTTGCTTGTAAAACTCTTCCTTCCACAATAGATAGCCAGATGTAAGGCAATGTCTTAGTAATACTGCATATTCTGCTGGCATGTTATTTTCCTCTAGTTTCCTAGTTATAATTGAGATGCAGTCTTCAACAGGTAGACATGTAAATAGAGACTGAACATCAAAACTGACCATGGTTTCATTGTCAGTAAGATGTAGGTCTTTTATCTCACTGACAAAATGGTATGAATCCTTAGTGTGTGCTCTTGTGTGTCCTCTGAGTGGTGATAATATTTTAGCTAAGTATTGAGCCAATCTGTAAGTTGGCGAATCAATCTGACTCACTATTGGACGTAATGGAGCATTCGGTTTATGTATTTTTGGTAACCCATACAACTTAGGTGGTTTGACACATGAAGTTATTATCGAATTAACGTCCAGATTCAATTTCTCGGAGTATTTCTTAATTAGATCGCTAGTTGTTTTAAGCGAATTAGTTGTAGGGTCTGTTTTGACCTTTCGATAAGTAGTTTCATCCGACAAAAGTTGTTGTATTTTAAAACTGTAATCTGACGTATCCATTATTACCTTAAAGTAGTTTTAATCATGTGTAGTGTTCGCGTAAATATAAGAAATCATTATGGCGGTAACTTGCTTAAATCCTTTGCCACAAAAACGGGCAGGCAGTCCGGCTCAAATTCTTTTATTAGCTTTATTATTTCCAGCAGACTATTCTTCTCACTCTCTTCCTTACGCCTAGTAATCCTTTTTTGTGGGGCAAGTAATTTATATACAGTTTGTCTTGCGAACTCGATATCGTCATAGGAGTAGGCACTCAAACATATTTGTATAAGTCCAAGCTCGGCTAATGTGTCAACCTTGTTCGCCACAAAAGCTAGTAATTCATTGATCACCACTTCACAGTCTTTGCACTTAGCTACACTGTTGTCACTTATTATTACTTTGTCGCGGTCGCGAGAAGCGGGAGGAGAGCGTAACATCGTGTAACGCGCGCGGTGTCCGCGACCGTACTGTATATATATATATATATATATATACAGGATTTCTCTGGTTTTGACAGGGATAGATTAGTCCGCCATGAAATTTTCGGGAAGTGGACCTGACGGCACGACTGAGCTACTACCACGTTACAGAGTCCACTGCTGAATATAGGCCACCCCCATTTTTTTTAACCTCGAGTCAAAACAACAGACGACCTTGCAACCGTTACAAAAGGGTCAACAATCAATAGTGGTCCCATTAGTGGGAACTGGGAATACATGCTGCAAAAAAAAATAAGCCGCTACGACATTGGAATCGACAAAAATGTCAATAAAAAATTCTAATCAGGTCATTTACAAACATAACCAAACAACAAACAAAACTCTTGCCTCCTCCACATTCATATACCTACGCATACATGCTCGTCGGTTAAGTGTACACCTGATTTGGCCCATTTTCAATATATCGCCAGTTTGGTCGATAAACTTCCGCCTAGAACGTCCCTTTCCGACTCTGCCGTTCACTTCTGCAACATAAAGAATCATGCTCACTTTCCATAAATACAAAAACCTGATATTGAAAGTTTATGTATAGTTATAAGGTATAGTAGAAAAACTACATGTAAATTTAGAAAATAATGTCATATAGTCATTTTTACGATTTAAACCGCAACGAAGCCCAAAAAATATTAAAGTCACATTTTAGGTTAGGTATGGCGTTGCGAAATAGGTAATATAAAAATTGATTTCTTAAATTTACGCGAACACTACACATTGAATAAAACTAAATTTACGGATTTTATCGCGTTTATTTCACTACTTTTACTTATTTTTAATTCCCGACGTTTCGGGTGCTTTACAGCAACCATGGTCACGGGGGGGGGGGGGGACTGAGATGTTTGACATCCCAATGTCATTGTTAGCCCGGCTACCTTCAGTTTTTGAATATTAATTTTTGGTCCGATTTACGCAAAACGAACTTACATTATCTTGAAGTCTTGCAATGGTATGCTTGGGTTTGGGTTTAATTTTGTTAATTATAGGATCCCAAGCAGATGGCAGCACCCAACCATCTTCTCTATCGAAATTAGGATCTTTTTTAATTTCAATAGCCTCGCGTATCATCCTTGGTAGGAATCGGTGTTCTCTTGCGAGAACTTGTGGTTTATCAAATCTGATGTAATGGTGGGGACGATCTTGAACATGTTCAGAGACTGCAGACTTCCCGGAGCGTCGGTGCTTCACGTCAGCTATATGTTCTATATGGTGGTTTAAAAATGCATTTTTAAGCCACCTTAACTCTATAAGCTCTAAAATACAATTCACAATGGAGTTAGAGGCAAATAATTCTTTAGCTTTCTTAGATGTTTTAGTCATTCGAAATCCTAATAACACAATTGGTCACACTGTGATATTCAACACACAACCGATATTTAAACGGTCAATCTCACCACCATCCTTCACAGTTAGCTACCGTGGGTAAATCTTTGTTTCAGAGATCTGTGAAAACATCTGGCCGCCGAACTTCAGCATGTCAAGCAAGTATTGCAAGACAACAAGCTTCGGGTCCCGCGCCTACGTCACAGTGACCGAGTGAAGCCGGCCACAGTCGAGCGTGTATCTGCTGTACTACACTATGTCAGAGGAGTCACAAACAAGGTTGGCTACATCTTGAAGCGAGCTTCCATTAAAACATACTACAAGCCGCCGAAGAAGATTAGTCAATTTTTACCATCCGTCAAGTGTAATATCCCTCTACAAGATGCAGAAGTTTACAAGTTAGATTGTGAATGTGGTCTCTCTACATAGGTCAAACAAAAAAGATCCATAAAAACCCGCGTGAAAGAACATATAGCTGACATGAAGCACCGACGCTCCGGGAAGTCCGTCCGTCTGTGAACATGTTCAAGATCGTCCCCACCATTACATCAGATTTGATAAACCACAAATTCTTGCAAAAGAACACCGATTCCTACCAAGGATGATACGCGAGGCTATTGAAATTAAAAAACATCCTAATTTCAATAGAGAAGATGATTGGGTGCTGCCATGTGCTTGGGATCCTATAGTTAACAAAATTAAACCCAAACCCAAGCATGCCACTGCAAGACTTCAAGATAATGTAAGTTCGTTTTGCGTAAATCGGACCAAAAATTAATATTCAAAAACTGAAGGTAGCCGGGCTAACAATGACATTGGGATGTCAAACATCTCAGTCCCCCCGTGACCATGGGTTGCTGTAAAGCACCCGAAACGTCGGGAATTAAAAATAAGTAAAAGTAGTGAAATAAACGCGATAAAATCCGTAAATTTAGTTTAATTCAAATATAGAAATTATTTTATTATTTTTAAATAATCTGCACTATACAAAGACTAATAAAAAGGCATACTGATTAAATGAAACATAAAATTATGTATAAAACTCAGAAACAACGTTGAGAGTAAAGTAACAATGTGTAAAATGGAACGTCCTAAAAAAAGAGGTAGTTGGGATGCGTTCAAAATATGGTTGACGTAGAATAAGCTTTCAGAAATATTAAAAAATATTTTTTCCTGCGTTTTTTTAACATTGTGATAAGCGTAATTAATTTACAATCCAATTAGCTGAATTTTAAGATTTATTTCATTCTATACATAGTCAGGCGAAAAATGGGCATATTTCATTGCTTTGTCATTCTTTCCTCTTTCATTCTTTTTACATGACCAAAGCACCGAAGCATTCCTTTCTTAATCCTGGTCACAACACCATCTTGCAAACCACACTCTTCCCTTATCACACAATTTCTCACCCTGTCACTCAGATTCAGCCCTAACATAATATTATTACGGTTATTTATTGTAGAAAAAATACGATACACATAATAAGTACTTATAAATAATATTATTTTTATATTAATCATAATGAATACATGTTTAAAATTATATTTAGATGTCAAAAGGCTTTTTTCAATTCGAATGGGATTTGAAATCGCGACCGCAGCCACTGTCAATATAATGCCATCAAAAACATAAATTGTAAAAAAATAAGTCTCGCAACTCAGTCCTTCTACCGTAAAAAGTCGTGAGATCCATGTAATACCAAGTCGATTAGTTTATTAAAAATGTTTTATGATTTGAATATATAGATTGACTTGGCCATCGCATGAAAACACAATGTATCTCACAAGTAATACATATTATATTAAATTAGATTGCTTAGTGCGATTGCCAAGTCAATCTATATATTTAAAATATAAAAGATTTTTAACATTGATATGGTCACTATAAAATGTTGTTAGGTTAGCTAATAGGCTTCTAGTTTTATTTACTACGAAGTTATAAGGGGTCGACAATGGCCTGAATTACTTCGAGAAAAGTATGGTACGGCCATGCCGCTTTTTGTTCGACTTGGCGGGGGCACTACTGTGCCCCCATATGTTATGTTACCGATATGTCTTTAGTTTATTGATTATATATATATATATATATATATATATATATATATATATATATAAAGGTGTGTGTGTGTGTGTGTGTATTCGTGTTTATATACATATATTCATAATTTATTTATTATTTTATTTTCTATATGTATATTAGTATGTATGCATGTACATTTATTTGCAATATATTTATGTCTATTCATTTTAATATTTTTTGCACCTACCAAGTATTACGTGTCAAATTCTCCCAGGATGGACTGGTAGAGAATGCCATAAGGCATTAAGTCCGTCCATTGTAACCCTTAGATTAAGGTGTAAAACAATAAAGATTAAATAAATAAATAAATAATAATTTAATGTTTTTTTCACTAACTTGTAGGCGGCCGATCGACTTGAAAATTTGCACGCGTATCAAATATTCAAGTAGCGATGACAAAACAATCATTTCATGGCTGACCTAGAGTCCTTACTATTAAATATAAATATTATTTGTATTTATGTTATGCGATATCTTCGTCAGTTATGGACCTATTTAAATTTTTATTACGGTTCAATTATTTGTTAGGTAACCCAACCTGGGTTCGATCCCCGCCGGCATCAATGAAATTATTAGTAACAAAATATAAGTGCTGATTTACCACGTGCTCGGCGGTGAAGGAAAACAGCGTTAGAAAACCTGGATGTCTGAGAAATAATAAAAAAATATTTTGAAGACAAGTGAAATTCACCAATACAGCACACGCACAGCGCGGCGGACATTTCTTTGTCTTAAAACCCTCTAAAAAATGAGAGGTATCTGTGCCCAGCAGTGGGACGTATATTAGGCAAGATAATACTTCATTTAAGGCTCTCTTTTAATCAGTTACTCTTGCAGTCTAGTCTAGTCAATAAGTTGCGTGAGGAATTCGAATAAAAAAATGAATGACAAAAACATTTTTCTGCTATGATCTTACATCTATTATATAGTTAATTGGTAAAAATCAAATAATTTGTCATTAATGACCGATACACGACTTTTTCTGCCACCAGGTCGGCGCCACTTTACAATGAGGTAAAGTATTTGACAGATTTCATAGCGGTGACGATAATTTTTTAGGAAAATGTAAACTTTAATGTTTCTTTCCTAAACTTTCTTTCAAAAATGAATATATTCTATAACAACACCAATACGTGTATTCTTTTTATTTGTTACATTACAATTTAGGCTTCTTATGTCGAAAAATAGGGTAATAGTTACGATAACTATACTATTTGATATAAAATCTATTAATTGTGGTTGAAAATTGTCATATTAAATAAATCATTTGCCGTTAAATCTTTTGAAGTGTTATTTTTATTATACAGTACGAAATAATATTTTTATCTCATAGATTTTAAATACATAGATTTCCGAAAATAAAAAAAATATCTAGGCTTTAAGTAAGGCGACTGTACAGCTACAAGAACGCCCGGCGGCGAAACGCGGAACTAAATATTTTCTACCTAGGAAATCTGTCAATGAAGCTTTTTCTTGCAAACTCGGCAATGTGTGGCTTGTGACATATTATTTATTCTGTGCTTGAGAGCTTGTGACTGCGT